ACGCGCGCGCTATAAAGGAATTAACTCTGATCCGAGCTGAGACTTTAGGTTGTCTGTCTTTGAACATCAGTTGCTTTTGAAGCCCCCCTTTGATGTATTGCATTTGTGTTTGTGCACACACAGATACAGGCCAGCCGGAGCTACACAGGCTATAATCTCGCTGTGTTCTATACATAAAAAGCACATAAGCTGTGGGGAGTATACACATGAATTCAAACAGGTATACTGTAATTGCACGGAAAAGTAAAAACAGACTGAGTGTTGGCAACCTTTCCATTAATTCAACTATAGTCAGGCTCTAAATGAAAAGGCCAACTTCCTTTAATTTCATTTTAGCAGAAGGTTTCGTCTTGTACGCATGCATTCACTCAAACTGACACACACTGCTATTCATTTAATTCATTATGTGCTGGCAGGATATATTTGGCCCTTCTTTTTTTCAACTGCACACACACTTATTGCATTTTAGACATACAGTACACAAACACTTTGTTATTAAGTTATTTGGCAGGACATTTTGGCTACTAGTTGTTGGTATCTATGCAGACACACACACTTAGGAATTAACTTAGTCTTGGCAGGCTGGGCATTTATTTTACTTTTTTTTCTGCATGTACACAAACCCACACATAAGAGCACACACACACACACACACACACACACACACACACACACACACACACAATGGGCAGTAATCCCCCCTGTACATGCCAAAGATTTGGGCAGAGCAGGGCTTTTCCTCTTCAAAGAGCAGACCACCCATCGCAGCCCCGGAACAATGGTGGCCAAACTCTGGAAGACTTCCTGTGGCGCCCCCCCCCTACCACCACCACCACACACACACACACACACACACACACACACACACACACACACACACACACATACTGTAGCCTGTGTTTGGTATAGACACACATTAACATCAAGACACACAAGCAATATGTCCAACACAGGATCATGTAAATACCTGCAGGCAGGATGTGGCACTGTTAATCACGCACACACACAGGCTGCATGCAGCGCTTGTGGGAGGACGGAGGTTTTTGTGGTGACAAACCGACAGACAGCAGATCTGTGTGTATGACTGGAGGCGGGCAGACACTTGACAAAAGAGCAAAGACTGAGCGAGGAGGGGATTGAAAAAGAACCGGAGAGGGATGAAGGGGCAGAGGCAGAGACTGAAGTCCAGCTGTTTCCACTCCTGAACGCAGCCTTGCTTTCACGCTGTCCCATGTTTCCCTCAAATCCTTGCACTTCCCCTTTTTTCATTTGTTTCTTCTTCTGTTGTGTTTTTCCACGCTGCGACAGAACGCGAGGTGGCCGTCATCCCCGCGCCATTGCTGACTCCCTCACACAGAAATTAAAAGTATTTGTTGCCTAAAAGCAAGCCTTTTGAATTCAAAGACAAAAGATGGCGCGGGCGACAAAGAGCGGCCCGCGTGTTGTGGGGGAATGTCGGCTTAAATGTTTAGATGCCCCCCCCCCTCTCTCCTTCCACTTCCACCCACATCCTCTTCCCTTTTCTTCTTGGTCTTTTGTCACAGAAGCAACAACATTCATTCTCAATTGATGCAGAAATTGTCTTTTTGTGATTGATTTTTTTCCCTTTGTGGTAAACACACAGAAACAGACTGCATTGTTGAATGTCTTTCTCTTATGAGTTATTATTTTTCATATTGACGGCAGTTGAAACCCAACGATAAACCGATGGAGACACACTATGTAAAGTTCAGCTAGTTGGTATTCACGCTCTGTCCTTCTGCAGATTATTTACCAAGGGAAACTTTCAAAAAATTCATCCATGAAATTGACTCCAAGTAAGAGTGTGTGTGTGTGTGTGTTTGCGCATAAGGATGGGTATTTGTGTCCAGCTGGTGGAGTTTTTTATTTCTCCGTGTGATTTATTTCTCTCCGTTTTACAGTTGGCCGTCAAACTTCATGGGTGAAGAACCGCTAACGTTGCAGAATTTCTGAGGGGACACAGATATTGTTCATTTGTCGAAAAATGTATGAGCGCGACGTCACCTTGCCTCGCTGTCTGTTTTCCTTAGTGTCGTGCACACACACATGCAGACCCACAAAAGACTTATGCATTCCCCTTACTTATTTTTCACTTATCCCATAGCAACTTGCGTACTTCCTCAGCTTGTTTGACCTTTGGATGATTCCATTACATTTCTTTGCTTTTATTTGCAGATATACAGTTTTACTTCTGGATGTAGATGTGCCACCCCTGAGATAGTATCCAGTGTCGGACTAAAGGCTTCTTCTTGAACTTACTTCATATATTTTTAATGCACGCTTTGCATTTTTGCCATGCATGCAGTCTCAGGTCTGTCCAGTTTAATATGAATAACTTCACACTCATTCACTTCTGCTCCGGTCTTCAAAGACTTAAACAACAAGCTTAACAAGTCTCCAGGTAGATGCTGCCCTGCCCCCCCCATGCAGCTTCATAGCTCTATTTCATAGTGAGCTTTTTCCAGAAACTGCACAAGGCTGCAGAGGAAATACATGTTGTATGATAAATTGTATAAAGTTATTGGACACCAAACCAGAGTGAAAAAGTGCATCTTGGACTTCCTGCATTCATCATGTGGACAGAAAAGTGACTCAAAATAATAAATAAGGTGATATTTTGTCAATCTTCGAGCTTTCAGATTTTTCCCATGTGACCGAGTGGACATAAGAATCCCAAATGTTTTTATTTAGGGTTTATTAGACAGGCTCTGACACAGTTTACAGCACATAGAAAAACTATAAACACATAGTCAATGGAATACTAGATTGTGTCGCACTGAAGACACCGCGGCGGACACATCTTCACTACCTGTAACGTCTGAAAATAAATCCTGTGACGCCTCTAGCACCATCACCAGACTCCGTATCCGCATTATAAGTCCTTATGCAGACCAAGTACGACAAAACTCAATTAATTTCAAACTTCCATTTTCAAATGATATCAAAGATTGAGGGATACCACTGATTGTCTCGCTCATTTTGGCAAAAAATTGTGAAGCAATTTGTCTAATTGCTGTAAACATTTAAATACTGATGCAACGCTCTGCATGATGGATGATTCTGTTAGGAATGTGTGAATGGAAAATAAGGAGGAACAGCACCTAGATTTCTGACTACGGAAAAAATAATGTTGGTATTCCTCAGGGTAGTTCTAGCGAGTCACTGTGGAGGCAGGTGTGTGTGTGTATAGGGTGTTATTAATCTGGTTGCTTTTGGCGCTTGCCATTTTGAGCTTTTTTGCACACATTCACTTTAATAGGAATCCTGCTCACAGTTTTACAAATGAGACCCCAGTTCAGAGTGTTCCAGCAGCTCGTGTGGTGCATCTAAAGTTCCTGCGACCAAATGATTTAGTCCCAAAAGTGTAATGCTTACTTGGGTATTTCCTCTCGTATCACACTATTTAACATTTGTGAGACAATAGAAAGGGGTAATGATCTGATTTGAGGACTTGCATTGATAACAAGGCATTAGACAATGAAGGGATTGATGCATTTTGGGTAAGGAGAGCTTCAATATTTCTGTCAGATAGAATACAGGTGCTCGGTTTGACTGTGATTCTGGGGTGATTGAGCAAACGCTACTTCACATTCCAAAGTCTGACGAACAGCAATCGTAAAAATATTTTCATTGTACGCTGGTGAGTGTGTCCCATGTGCCTTTTGTGGCGGTGCAGCCCCTCATTTACAGGGCTTTTTTGGTGTCTGCTTGACAACTAAACACAAGCCCCTCTGCCAAACAAATGGGGGGCTGTGTTGTGGGGAGGGGGCGGCCCCAGCCCAAACTGCGGAAATGGGCACTCTTTGACAGCTGCTTTCATCTTGTTATTATTCCTCCTTCACTCTCAAGGATTTTTTGGGCTTCCTAAAGTATTTCTGTCGTCCTCTCCTTCCTCCCCCCCTCCCTCCATCCCCCCTTCTCTTTCTGTCACCGGGCTGTGATTGGCTGTTATGACAGAGCCGTCGCCGGGCTGTCAGCCTCTTCTAAAGCTCAGTTTAATTACTCCTTTTCACTAACATGACACGTTCATGCACAGATGCATGAAAACTCGCTCACACACACAAGCAAAATGTGCTCACAAACACACAAGCCGAAGCTCAGCTGCGAGCCACGATGGCCTAGCAGTAATAAAAAAAAAGCCATGGTGATTGAACCCGCCGTCAGCCGCTCTACCTGACAAAGCAGACCCCCAGATGTTTTGTCAGTGTTGGCTCTGGTTCCTCAGTAGAGCTTTGAAAACATGTCGATTTGTGAAGGGCCGGCAGCCGCAGGGTTTGATGGGCGCAGATCGATTGCGCTTCCTGCTGTGCCGGATTCTGAATAGCCAATTAAAGCCATTGAGACAGAGACAAAATGGAGAGCGATGTGAAGGTTTTTGATTAGAGGAGGATGAGAGGAAAAAGGGGGACCGACGCAGCAGCGGTAGCCGGTAAATGTTTAATATTCTGCGTGGTAAACTTCACAATGATCGCCTTTCGCTGATTTCCGTCCTCATCTTTTCCCCCCCCCCCCTTCAGATAAAGACTCCCTGACGGATGCGTTCAGCTATGCTTCCACAAACAGAAGACAGCAGTGCACTGGGTTGAGACCTTGACTGATGGAGGGAAGCTAAGACAGATGTACAGATTTGCTAGAAATAGAGGGGAAAACAATGCGAGAGCCATGTCGTGTTTGAATGCCAAGCTGTCTGGGATGGATTCATATGGTCTTGAATTTTCCCTCTGTCAACCAAACCTTTTTTCAGTGTTTTCTCACCCTCTCTCCATCCCTCCATCTTTCATCTTTCTCTCTTTCCTACAACACTTTCACCTGTCTCCTCTTGTCATGTCTTCTATATTCTCTCGTTTCTCCTTCTCGTATCTTCGTGTAGCCCTATTTTCTCGCTTTGTTACCCCTCATAGGTCCATTAGATGTTTCCTCCTCCTTCCCCATGGTCCCTTTCCTATTTGTCCTAATCTCTCTTTCTCTCCCCCTGCCAGGTACCCTGCCCTACGACATCAAAATAGTAATCGCCGGAAACCACGAGTTGACCTTTGACCAGGAGTTTATGGCCGACCTGATCAAGCAGGATTTCTACTACTTCCCCTCTGCCTCCAAGTTGAAGCCGGAGAATTACGAGAACGTCCAGTCGCTGCTCACCAACTGCATCTACCTGCAGGACTCTGAGGTCACCGTGCGGGGTTTCAAGATCTACGGCGCCCCCTGGTGAGTAACCCCTGCCACTGCACACACACACAAGAGCTAGCTTAGCTTTTCAGATATTGAAAAAAGTGCTTCCTTAAAGGTTTCACTGTAAGGTGGTCATCCACTTATGTGAAATAAACACTTATATATTTGTATTTTTTACAAAAAATGTCCTCGTGAAGAATATCATCACATCTTGTGACTACAGACATGTCAGAAATAAAATAAAACATATGGGAGGATGTGTCAATGAAACATTCTGGTTGCTTGGTGGATAAATCAAAGTTTCTAGGTGGAGTCCTTGTGTGCGGTTTAAGTGAGAGATTAAGTGTTTTTGCGTTTACACGAGGTGTTTTTCCTTTCTGTGTGCGGACAGCTTCTATCAAGGGTCAAAAACCTTCTAAAGGTCAACAAATACTAAACAAGTACCAGAAATGCCACACAGACAGATACACCTTGAGGTAAAGTAAGACAATGGTTTATCCTGATGCGTCATCCCACACAACGAAAACCATCAAAAGTGACAAAGTCTGCGAGGAAAGAGTCCGTGGTGAATTAAATGAAAATAGTACACTCAGACAGGAGACTGCTGTTGGTGTCCCATGTGAAACCAGAACTCCTATTACAATGCACATTGCAGAAGGTCATTTTATGTTTAGACCCCCTATCAGGTTTATCTGACCATGATAATTTCTCTCTACTGAGGTTTGTTCCTTGCAGTTTTGAATCTTTAAAGTGGACCTATCATGCTATATTTGAATAATATAGTGTAGGACCATACCTATATAAGGCATATTTATACTTTTTTTTTTCAAAATACCAAACAGATCATGCATTTTAGCCATGCCTCATTTCGCTCAATTTGCACTTTTTTAGCTCTGTTTTTGCAAGGGCTGATTCTGTGAGAACAGCACCATCTACTGGCCTGGCATATGTACTACAGCGTCTCCAGCGCTTTCGAACGGCAATGGCCGTGGCTGTCTCCTCCTGATTGGTGGAGTTGGCCCAATAGCCGTAGCGCCACCGTCCTGACGTCAGGACAGTGTTCAAATCTGGATCAGTTTTTATCAGATCCGTTGCAGCCCCTTTTTTAGAGATTTGGGTATGGAGGAAAATAGAGAGGGTTGTGTTTTCTGACACTTGGTGAGTTCCCTGGAACACCGGGGACACATATTCATGTATAACAGACGTACAAAAGTGCATTTTGCATGATAGGTCCCCTTTAAAATGCATCATTTAGTTGCTTCTCCATTTAGTTTCAACTTGCATAGCTTTCTATTTTTCTGCTGTAACTTCCAGAAAGTATGTGTGTCTGTTTGTGTGCCCCAGTGCTGGGTAATTGGTTTGCTGTGATAGCAGGGTCCCCTGAGTTTACTGCTAAAGCCTCGGCATAGAGCTGCCTGAGGTGGGTCGAGAGAAAGATGGAGATGGCAAAGAAAAAGAAGAAGAAGATAAGGAGGTAAAAAGTAAAATTGCAGGAGGTGGACGAGTGAGGGAGGGAGGGAGGGAGGGGAGAGTGAAGAGTTGGTGATGGATGGAGAGGAAGAGACAGACCGACAGACAGAGGGAGGGAGGGATGGAGATTTAGGAAGAGATGATTTTATTCAGCTTCACCGGCTGGCCCTGGCTTGTATAATAGGCACATGAGGTGACGAGTGTGTGTGTGTGTGTGTGTGTCTGCACGAGTGTGTGTGTTTATGTACGAATATTTCTGTCTGAATGTATGTTGTGGGTTTGTAAGTGTGCTCTCACTTGCCTTGGACTGCATGCTGGCGTGCATGTTTGTGTGTGTGTGTGTGTGTGTGTGTGTGTGTGTGTGTGTGTGTGTGTGTGTGTGTGTGCGAGCCTCGGGGTGTGTTCCTGCAGCACAGAGGGGCTCCAGCTGGAGGCTCTGGGATCCCCCCCAACCCACAACCCCCCCTTTGCACTGTCTGCTCCCTCTTCCTTACCTCCTCTTCCGTCTCTCTATCTTGCATCCTTCAATCATCACTTCCTTTATCATGTTCTCTCCTTCTTTCCTTCACTACATACCTCCTCCTGCTTTTTCCTCCCTCTTATAGCTCATTCCTGTCTCCTCTGCCCTTCAACTATACCTCTTTCAAACTCTTTTTTCAGGCGCACCATTTTCCACTCCTGTCTGTCACTTCCTAAATCATTTCATGGGTCCTGCATCCTACTATGACAGAAGTCTATGAATGTGTGAGTGTATATGTTTGTGTGTATGTTATTATCACCCTCACACTTGCTCTAAAAAGTGGTCTGCCCGGCCTTCTTTGAGTGTCGGGCATTAAGTCGGTTCATCATCATTATTTTATTTTCGTAAAAAAGTAGTTTTTTCAGATACATTGACAATGAAACTATTACTGGTTACGCACTTAGAGTTGACAATAAAATAATTGGAGTTATAGTGGTAATAATATCTTGGAAAAAAATAAATCAATTTGATTAAACAGAACTTTAAAACAAATGAGTACGATAAAATCTAAATAAATTAAGGTCATAAAACAAGTTCTTCTTCAACTCTGCCTCTCGCCTTCTCTCATTCTCCATCCTCTTGTCTGACACTGAATTCATCACTTCCTCTCTCCTCTTTTCCTCCATCCATCTGTCTTCACGGCCGATCACTCCGCCATCCCTCACTCCGACTTCATCCTCTCTTTTTCTATCTGTAAGAGGTATAGTCACTGCTGTACTTCTCTCAGCGGGCTCTTCAAGTCCATCCCGCGCCTGAATCGCTTTCACATACATCACATATCCCCGTCCTTACCCCATGCCATCAAACCTGAATTAAATCGTGCTTGCTTCATCCTCCCCAAACTTTCCAAATATGTCACTGCATGCAACAGGGGGGAGGGAAGGGACGGCTCCTTCCTCCTGACACTAATGTGAGTTTACAAGTCATTTGTCACGAGCGCAGCGCACAGTCACCCTCTGTCTGTCTCAGGACACACGTGTGTTTCAATCTTTCTGGAAGAGAAACGGCTACATTAACATAAAACGGACGAAAAGGAATGTGGGCATGAAGTTCAAAAGTTCAGAATGACCATGACGAGTCACTATGATTCATACAGACTGACAGTTAACCTGTTGATCCTGCATTAAAAGAACATGCATGGGTGAAATGAAATGTCCTGACTGACAGTGGGTCATGCTGCTCTTTCACAGCTTTTTACTTTTGCCAGGCAAAGCCCTATATTCCACTCAAACACTACACGCAGGATACGAGTCCATCACACTGCATGGAAAACGACTGTGTAAATGTATCAGATTTAGTTTTTTTGAGTATGCTGTTAGACATAATAATAGATGAAGACAAACTGCTGAGTTCTTGCAAAACAACATCAAATATATCCAACAGTAATCCATTTTGTTGCAGAGTAAAAGACGCCCATTGGCACACGTGGCCTACTTGATCATACCTAAGAAATCGTAAAGTAACAACAAAACAGCACGCTCTAAAAATGAATCTGTTAAATGTACGCCTTTTCTAGTCGTCCAACATCTAAAAGGGCATTTAGACTACATTTACCTATTCACATAAACAGCTGCTGATAGCTCTGTCCTGCAAGGTGCTCATTGTCATCTAACGCAACCTACACACGGTTCCGTTGCGTTGACGCTTGCCGGTGGGCATATCTGGCGCTTGGGGTTAACGCGACCAACAACCAATCACATTCATCTCCCGCCCCGGACACACAAAGCACGCGGTTTGATTGGCTAGAGCTTGTACTGGCATATGGTTTGATAGGCTGGCACTTCCGTCAACGCTTGAAAAGTTGAACTTTTCTCAACTTTCAGCGCGAGCAACGCAGGCAAAGCGAAGCAACGGAACCACAATGCAGTTCGGCAAAGCTTGACGTCACCCCATTCAAAGTGAATGGGAAGTGTCTCCGTTGAAGCTTCCAACGGCACCGTGTGTAGGATGCGTAATGCCCATTCATTCACACACTGATGGCGATGCCTTCAGGAGCAGTTTGGGGTTTAGGGTTTAGTATCTTGCCCAAGGACACAACATGTGGACTGGAGGAACTCGCGGCCCAAACTGTCAAAGTTCCTGAGCCATAAGTGCCCTATAGTACTTATACATTACAATACAATGTATACAAGAAGTAGGAACCTTTCTTTTCTAGCCTCACCACATGTTGAGTTCAGTTCCATAAATGTAAAATAAAGATTAGTACTCCATCACTTTCATACCACTGATTATAAGGTATTATCTGTCTTTCATTTATTAGAACATTTCTATAACTGGACTGAATTGCAAATCTGAAATTAAACATTCACACAGAAAGTGCATAGTAGTTTCACCAGCTGGTATCACAGATCTTGGACGCTCAGGATCTCAGAACTACTCTCTACTCATAATTTAACAACTAAGATTCTCGGCAGCAGAAAGCAGTCTGGCAACCCTGCAGATTATATCTGAGTCATTATTAATAATGAGCTGCATGGACGGGACACGCAGCTCTGCACATTCATGCATCGCTCCTCCACCAGCTCAAACACAGCCATGAGTACGAGAGTGTCGCTCTGTGCTAGCGTTTCATCAGAAGCCAGTTAGAAACAAAATGTCTGATTTAATGGATTAGTCGATCAACGGAACATTTTACAGCAAACATTTTGAATACCAAGAAAGTCAAGGAAGACACCTGGGCTGTTGGGTTTTATGGTATGCATGTTTTACTTTTTCAATGTATTTTCTTTAAAAACATCAGAGGTATTAAAGGTCACCTATTATGCAAAATCCACTTTTTCATGTCTTTTATACATAAATATGTGTCCCCTCTGAGATCCAGAAAGTTTCAGGAAAAAAGATTCTCTCTTTTTGTCCTGATCCATTTATATAAAAGCCTGTCTGAAAATGAGCTGAGCCACTTTGTGATGTCACAATGTTTTTTTGGGTTATGCAACCATTAGCCAATAACCAACCAAGGTAACACCCCCCCACCTTATCACCTGAATCTCCTCCTAGAGCACCATTTTGTGTTTAAAAAAACCAAACAGTCATCTCTCAGAGGGGG